TTTTTTTTAATAAAATGAGATGAGCCTCGCCCAATAAAACACACTAATTGCGGGGCCCTCAATAACTGTTTAATTGATTACTTAGACTTCGGATGGGCCGTTTAACAAATTTCACGGCCTTCCCCAAAGTAAATAAAACGCTAATTGCTTTAGGCGCGGTATAATAATAATTCCATTCTTAAACATGGGTACGCATTTATGCGACCCAAACTAATTTGCATAATTAGGGATGCGTTCGCGTGACTTGATTATACTTCTAAAGGCATTTCGGATTATGCGTTCGCGCAACTTCGAGCAAATTTTTATTAAAAAGGGGTTCTTCGGAGAATATCAAATTAATTTCATATAACCTGAGATGTGCAGTTCACTATTTAATCATACAAGAGCGACAGACGTTCTTAATTTTATTTTAAGCACAATTTCGAACTTAAGTCTATTTTTATAAATAAATAAAAATTTCGAAAATAAATAAATAAATTATATTATCATTATCATTGTGTATACGTACGCGTAACACGAATTTTCACGTTAAAAAAATATATAATATATAAAACGGATATACGTATGCGTGATTCGATTCGAAGAAGGGTCCTTAATTACAAGCAGTCTAAATAGAAGCGGTAACAATAAAATTGGGCAATAAATATGCATTTAATAAATCAAAGTCAAATATAATAACAGTTAAGCGACCGTGCTAGAACCACGGAATTCGGAAATGCCTAACACCTTCTTCCGGATTAACAGAATTCCTTATTCAGGATTTCTGGTTCGCAGAATAACAAACAGAGTCATATTCTCCTCGATTCAGGGATTAAAAATTGGTGACTTGGGACGCCTTAAAATTCCCAGGTGGCGACTCTGAAACAAAACAAATAAATCCCGTTTCGACTGTCCTTTAATTGGAAAAACTCCCACGCACCCTCGCGGGGCGGAAAAAGGAGGTGNGCAGAATAACAAACAGAGTCATATTCTCCTCGATTCAGGGATTAAAAATTGGTGACTTGGGACGCCTTAAAATTCCCAGGTGGCGACTCTGAAACAAAACAAATAAATCCTGTTTCGACTGTCCTTTAATTGGAAAAACTCTCTACGCACCCTCGCGGGGGCAGAAAAAGGAGGTGTGACAGCAAGATCCAGCCCTTGTTGAAAAAGGACATCTAGAACCTCGCCTTGCCACATCCCAAAATGTCCTGATCTGTCAAAAATTTCTACCGCAAATTTCGCGTTTGACACAATTCTTGTCATAAGCGAAGATGCCAACGATGACGTATTATTGATACTTTATGTAGATTCTTCTTGTTTATTGTCTCCCATTTGACACGAATATTATTTAATAGCTGACGACACAAATCAAAATTATTTTTTTCTGGTGTGGAAGATCAGACTAAGCTGCAACCACAAAGCATGCTAAGACAAAACCTTGACACAGTTACCAAGATAAATCTTTTCTGATGTGGAAGATCAGACTATGCTGCAACCACAGAGCATACTTAGACACTACCTTGGCTCTGATACCAATTGTTGCGGAAGCCAAATGTATATAGTGTGAATGAGTCACAACTAATATACCAAAAATTACGACAGCCACCGAATAATAAATAAGACAATAAAGTAACAATAAAAGAAACACCAAAATTTACGAGGTTCGGCCAATTTTGTCTACTTCCTCGGACACATCCAATATTTTATTCCACTACAAAAATACAAATGAAATAATACTAAAGAGAGAAGATACAAATGCCTTAAGAACATAAGAAGGCAAATAAGAGGTGTGTTTAAATCCTAAACATTAAGCCTCCTTTTATAGGGAGAAATTCTCCCCTAAATACAAGTCCCCCACCGATGTGGGATGAAGACATATTCAACATTGCTCTCCTCCCCTCGCCCAAAAGGTGAACAAAAGGACGTTTTTGGCTGGCTGCTCCTACGTCGATATAAGACAAATATAAAATCTTGTTAAAATAAAATCTGACGGTATATATTGGTTCAAATACGTAAATATGTTGTTCTCCACCAATATATGAGCAAATAATAGTAAGAGTGAAGAGTTTGTTTTGAATAAGGCTAGCTGCTTTTACTTCTTTTGATTTCGGATGATTCTGGCTTAACTAGATGCGCGTTGGAGTCTAAATGCATCTTAAATCCTAATCAAAAAACATAAATGCTACTTAATAATTATTCCATTCATTCTACTTTAATTGATTTTTTCGTTTTTTTTACGATCTATAATATTTAATTTTTTCATATATCAATAAAAAGTTAATTTTTCCTAAATTGTCATTGGAATAAAGAAACTAGGAGTATTTGTTATATTTTTAATGAACAAATAAAGGGTTAATATGGTCTAAAAGTTGAATTACTTAATATGCAAATAACTAAAAAATAATTAAATTAGATAGGAGGAAGTATTACATCATCAATAACGTCATAATCATTTAGAGTATTTTTAATAAGACTCTTGTCATTTTCAGAAAAGTAGCTTTTTTAAATGAAAAAGTTGGTTAATGTTTTCAATGAACTATTTATCCCATGTGAGTGGAAGTTAACTTTAGAGTTATCTTGGCTTTTAACTTCACATTATTTACTTTTAATTAACACTTACTTCAACTATTATCCAATTTGCTAATAACATATATAATGTTTTTTTTTTTATTATTTACCATTCATAAAACAAACATCAAAAAAATATATTTCAAGAAAATTATTTTCCATCAGAAATGACTTCCGTAATGTTATCCATAATTATCTATTTATTTAGTGTTAACTCTCAAAGGTAGATTAACAAAATTATCTTGCTAATAAATAGAGTAATAAAATTCATCTCATCCACTAATAAATTCCNTGTCCTTAAAAGCACAAAAATCCCCAGTCTTTTTGTTCTTTTTTTTTTGTATTTTTTTTCATTTGTTTCGGTGGACCAACTTTTAGCCAACCTCCAATTCCTCCGCCGTGACAAAAAGAAAGGATGAAGAAAGCGACGGTGGGAGCCGCCGTGGTTGGCGCCGCTACGGTATGTGCTGTGGCGGCATTCATAGTGAACCACCGTATGCGCAAATCTAGTAAATGGGCACGTGCTATGGCTATTCTTCGTGAATTTGAGGAAAAGTGTGGGACCCCTGATGCTAAGCTCAAGCAAGTCGCTGATGCTATGACCGTCGAGATGCACGCTGGACTTGCCTCCGAAGGTGGTAGCAAGCTCAAGATGCTTATCACTTACGTCGATAATCTCCCCACCGGGTATGATTAGCGGTGATTTTTTGTCGTTAATGATTGGTGGCATTAATTCATTGGTTGGAATTTTTTTCTTTTTGCTCTGTGAGTTGAAATCTGATTTTTTCTTTTAATTATCTTTCAGCTTTTATAGATTTGGTGACCCTAGAGATTTGGCTATCCTGTGTTGAACCTAATTGTCAAATGTACTGTTTCATAGCGTTTTACTCTAGCATGATCCCAGATTAAGTTGTAGGATTATATTCGTAATCTCTACTTAATCGGGATATGATGAGGAGGGTGTGAAATGTATTAAAGATTCAGTCTTTTTTATTTATGGCGGTGGTAATCCGGCTTGCACCGGTAGTAATCCGGCTTGCACCGGTAGTAATCCGGCTAGCTGGTGCATACGTGGGTACATGCTACCAATTCTTAAGCAGGTGGGAAGAAATAAGATTTGAATCTTAGACCTCATGGTTTTGGTCCCACTTCACTGACCGCTGTGCCACACCCTTGGTGCAAGATTCAGTCTTTCTTATTGTTTGTTCTGTCTTATATGATAAGTACTGGGGAGTATATGGATATCATTTACTTGGAGTTGCATTATGGAATTCTAGGATACTTCTATTTTCTTGTGTTATTCTGCTTTACATATTCTCTGTAGTTTATTAAGCTATTCGTTGATGTAATATGTGGTCGAGAGAGCTGTAAGCTGGTACATTGTGCATTTTTATTAGAAGCAGTAAACAAGATTTAACTGAATTTATCTCCAGTATATAAGTTACTCCTCAAATTCCCTGGACATATCCCTGATTTGAATTTGACATACAGGGCAATGGCATTATCAATGCAATTTGCAATATGAGGTCAAGTAATTTTTTTTGCAATGGTTGTGATGTGTGCTTTTGCAGCTATCATCTCTCTCATCAGTGACTGTTTTAGTATTTTTTTGAAACAGTAGCCAAAGTATACAGCCAGTTGTGCTATGCATAATATTTCTTGAAGTGATTTAACAAGTTCTATATAGCGACCGGTATAACATTTGATAAAACGAGGATATGCTAAATGTTTGTTTCATCAATACTTTTTTTTGAGAAGTTTGTTTCATCAAAACTTTTTGAATTTAGTGATGAAGCCGGCGTCTTTTATGCGTTGGATCTTGGTGGAACAAATTTTCGAGTATTGCGAGTGCAACTTGGTGGAAAAGATGGTGGTATTGTTCATCAAGAATTTGCGGAGGCATCAATTCCTCCAAATTTGATGGTCGGGACTTCAGAAGTAAGTACTTGTCCTGTTGTGATCTTGTTTCCTGCTATATTGTTTAACCACATTCCTTTTGAGCTCTTATAGTTGACAACTTAACATGATTTCAGGCACTTTTTGATTATATTGCGGCAGAACTTGCAAAATTTGTCGCTGAGGAAGAGGAAAAGTTTCAACAACCTCCTGGTAAGCAGAGAGAACTAGGTTTCACCTTCTCATTCCCGGTAATGCAGACTTCAATCAACTCTGGGACTATTATGAGGTGGACAAAGGGCTTCTCCATTGATGATGCGGTATGCATTGCCCTCACTGCTTTGCATTTCCTGTTTATCACAGTTCCTTGTAGAGTCAATATATCCATATTAACCTTTAGTGATTCGTGCTATGCTCAGTTCTAGCCATCCGCTCTCTGCAGCTTGGTTGTGTTCTTTCCAATTTGGTTTCAGTATTTCTGCTAGTTCTGAAGATAAGATAAAATGATTGGTTTTCCCTGCTGATTTACTTTTCCAGTTATGTATTAGGTTTAGACGCTAAGATATGATTGGCCTGAAAGAAAACTTTGATACTAGAAATTTTAAGATTTCATCACCCATTTATGGAAGAAGTGTTATTAAAGGTACGGATAAGCACTAAATGTTGGGTGCAATGAAACTTTGGCGCTTGCCTTGCTTAGACGGCTTCAATGGGAGCACTATTAAATGTAGTATGAAAAAGCTAGTCACTAAATCTAGATGAGAAACTTAAGATTGCATCTTTCCATCTGAATCAGAAACTTCAAAACCATATATTTTTGTTCAGTTGATGTTTCACTTAAGGGGGAATTCCAGTTCCATAACATTTCCTTTGTGTTCATTGTTATTTTTTCTTTTGCGTGTATAAGTGTGTGCGTGTGTCTATAAATACATAGATACACACACACACATTGCTAAAGCGGGCACTTGAAATGCCCGTTGCGCGTAAAGTTCCAACAGATCTTGGTGCTTTTCTATGATTTTTGCTTTTGACAATACTAAATGGAAGAGCGAATATATTTTTCTTGTTCCATATATTCTCTATTCAAAGATTAAGTCCCTCATTTGGTTAGTGGGTATAATCAACAAGTGCCGCATCAAATATGGTACTCAATTGTTGATGCGGCACTTGTTGATTGTACCCACTAACTCAATATGGTACTCATTTGACAACAGCATATAACTTAATGTCAAATGAATGGTACTCAATTGTTTCCAATACAAAAGGGTAGAATCATCATGTAAGTTGCAGCAGTTTATGTTAAAATTAACAACCATTATGAAACCTGATAATTGTATGCTGAGAAAAAGTATTAGATTTAACAAACTGCAGAGCTAAGCTTATGGTAATTGCATGGACATAGGTTGGCCAAGATGTTGTTGGAGAACTCACAAAAGCTATGAAAAGAAAAGGAGTTGATATGCGGGTCTCAGCTCTGGTGAGTTTATCTGGTGCCACAGAGGAATATTATTCTATTTAAATAGTGTGTGAGGAAAAAAGATTTTGATAGTACTACTTATCAGAAAAGCATGTTAGTGCTGCTTAGTTGTAAAGTATTGATTTTGACTTATGTTTCAAAATGGTAGGTGAATGATACTGTTGGGACGTTGGCTGGTGGTAAATATACACACAACGACGTAGCTGTTGCTGTTATCTTAGGTACAGGGACCAATGCAGCTTATGTGGAACGGGTGCAGGCGATTCCAAAGTGGCATGGTCCAGTGCCAAAATCTGGTGAAATGGTTAGGATCTGTTCAGTGACTATTGATCTTCTTTTCTCTCTGATACTGCAGCAGGAATAGTTGCTAAATGCATCCTGTGTTTCTTTCTAGGTTATCAACATGGAATGGGGTAATTTTAGGTCATCCCATCTTCCCTTGACACAGTATGATCATGCGTTGGATACTAATAGTTTGAATCCTGGTGATCAGGTGATTGTTTGTCTGNATCTGCTCTTATAACTTGTAGTAGTAAGCTTGCCTAATGTTGCGATTAATTAGATGTATCTGAAGAATATTTCTGTTCATCCTAACAGATATTTGAGAAGATGACTTCTGGCATGTACTTGGGAGAAATTTTACGCAGAGTTCTACTCAGGGTGGCTGAAGATGCTGGCATTTTTGGTGATGAGGTCCCTCCAAAGCTCAAGAGTCCATTTGTATTGAGGTACTTCTTTCATTCTTTGTAGCTTCAGAATTGTCGATTAATTCCCCTTAACGCAAATTGCATTATTAAATAACTAAAAAGCTGATCTTCACTAGTTCTCTTGGTAAATTATAACATGACTTGTGTTTCGTAGTATTCATTTCCTTCATGCTTAAGGATCTTATCACTCCTTTCTTGGCTTTTCAAAGATCCCTAGAGGCTGTACAGAGCTCAAGGGCTATATTTTCAGCTAGCTTGGGAAATCCTTTTTCACCTCTCTCTCTAATCCACTGATGTGTTGAACTTGTAATTTGATTGTAATTAGATAAAAGCCTTGCAAGTCAATGTCACTTGCTCTTTACAACATGTCTGGATACTAATGAGTGTGGCCTGTGAAATATGCCAGAGCTAAGATCGATTTAGAAATCCTTCAGTTAACTTTAGTTTCTAATTCACTTGCTTCTCATGCCTTTCTAGTTTCCTTGAATTCTTGAAAGCATCTGTTTTGTTTGCTTGTGCACATTCAAACAGCCCCAGTGATAAAAATGTAAAACAATATGCAGGACACCTGATATGTCTGCTATGCATCATGACATATCCTCTGATCTGAGAGTGGTTGGTGACAAGCTGAAGGATATTCTAGAGGTAGATATTATTGCTATTCAACACTTGTCTAAATAAATAAAAAAGGTTATCTTTCATTAGTGTCTTTATATATACCCGTTTATGAAAAATAGGGATCTTTAAAACAAATTGGCACTTATTAGTTTCCTCATTGCTCACGGGTATGGAATATACTATTATTTTGCCTTGACGAGTAAATTTCACGAGAACTATATCACTTCTCCTGTCACTCACGTTGAAACAAAGGCTGGAAAGATTTGAACAATGAATAGATTTTCTTTGCTGTGAGGAAAAAACTGAAGAAGTATCAGATAGTGATGAATCAAATGGAAATTTTTGTTTGCAGTAATTGCCTAGGAGTTCTACCCCTAATATAGTGCCAAACTACACATGATATATGTGTGAAACAAAATAATGTGGCAAAAGTGCTTTGTCGTAAGAAATCAATAACTGCAGAAGACAAGTGAAACTAACTTTTAAAGCACCCAACTTAAAGCTTTCAGAAGAAAAATAATTTCCATTTTAATTAGTATATTAGGAAAAGAAATATGTGGTACATTCTTTTGTATAGGTTATCTTTTAAGCTCTGCACAAATATGAAGGGGAAAAAACTCTTTCGCAAGATGGAAAGGAAGAACATTTGAAGGTTTAAGATAGCTCTCTTGAATTATTATAATATTTCCTGTTCATCCATAAGATCATAGAATTATCCACGAAAAAAGAAACAATGGATTTATTCCTTGGAATATGGAAAACGAGATTTGAGATTTATTGATATTTGTTCTTTATCAACGATTCCTTTGAATTTTGCTATAACGTTTACTTGATCATATATTTTCATATCACCAAACATGAATTCACACTTTCTTTATTCTGCCATTTAGATATCTAATACCTCCTTGAAGACAAGGAGATTAGTCGTTGAGCTGTGCAACATCGTTGCAACACGAGGGGCAAGGCTTGCAGCTGCAGGTATATTGGGAATCTTAAAGAAGATGGGAAGGGATACACCTAGGCAAGGTGGTCCAGAAAAGACGGTTGTAGCCATGGATGGCGGATTGTATGAGCACTATACAGAGTACAGAACGTGCTTAGAGAACACATTGAAGGAATTGCTTGGAGATGAATTGGCGACAAGCATTGTTTTCGAGCACTCCAATGATGGTTCTGGCATTGGTGCTGCTCTTCTTGCTGCCTCTAACTCAATGTACCTTGAAGATAAGTCCTAGGAGTGATCAAATCCCTTTCTTGCTAGAGGAAACCACCTTTTACTCTTTATATTTTGCTCTCGAGCATTTTCTTCAATTTTTCTCCGGATTATACCATCAAGCATATTTAATAAATTTCCCAGTACCTTTTTATCTCTAGGAATTTTTTCCTAGAAATGCCTACACATCTAGCATACCTTTTTAAGTCGCTTTCAGCACTGTTGGTTCTCTCTTTAATCTCTTTTTCATTTACTTTTGAAATCAAATTCAAAGGCAATAAATTGGGGGAATTTCCGGAGAAAGCCGGTTAATTGGGCATGCCTGTTTAGCCTACCATGGATAAAAAATGGTAGCTCTGTCCTTTTCATTTCCAGGCATCAGCAATTTTCTTACTATTTCCTCTCAACTGCCTGTAATAGCTTTGGGATTTTCCAAAAAGGAACACATGGAGTGAGTGAAAGCAGAAGCAAAATCTTTATTGATGTTATACAGTATAAAACTGTGGGATTATAGTTTGTTGTTCTATTTGTAGTATAAAACTGTGGCTCAATTTTCCAAACTAGAGTAATTAGTCGTTTTGATCAAAGATTTGCTCTAGTATCCAAGATCTGAAGTGAAGAAATTAGGTTCTAGGTTAAACTGAAGTTTTCTCCCAAAAATTGGGAACATAATATTCCCAAGTGTTTCAATATTGTAGGAGTAAAAACTTGAGGAATGTGGTTTATTCTTCCTGTGGGTGCTGCATTTTATTTCATTCCATTTCTCCAAGTGATGTTCAACTCTTTGCGGCTTTAATAGTTAAATATATTAAGCATCAGAAAGATAGTCACTGTTTCTCCAAATACATTGATTCCTGAGACTGATTTGCCAAATCTGTTTCTCCAAACTAGTAGGGTCTACGCAGACCTTACACTTATCATTTCCGATTGACCCTCGGCTCAGGCTAAAGAGAAGATAAAAGAAGCCCATATATGACAACCAGATTTCATAAATCAGGGAGAAATAATAAGCATTGCCAATCTTCCTGGTTCCCGAATCCGAAGTTGTAAAGAATCGGCTTTTATTGATTATGAAAGTGTCATCTACTCAAATATCAAATCAAATCATCTGATGAGATAAACTTCAATACTTTACTGAAAGCATATGGAATTTTAATTTACAAATCTTCTTTTTGATTTCAACAATTCAATGCGTATCGTATTTTTATCAAGGAATACATGTATGTATATATACTCCTACGTAAAAGAGTTGGGGCAAATGGAGAGGGTTCACCTAATATAGCCTCGGCTTGAATTCAAACCTTAATTTTTGAGGTTATTACCCCTTCTCTTTCACTCCACAGTCACTACGAGCCTACTTTTAATTCACACTTGAAAATACTCCTTTGTTGTCTTTAGAATGTTGGGGTCATCGACAGGGCGGTCATTCTATAAAGTAAGTAAAACAATTGCTTTAGGCCCCATATTTGTGGGGACCCCATTTTTTGTTACACCTAATAGGTTATGTATTAATTTTTAAAAAAGTTTTGTGAAGTGAAAAAGTTCGATTTCTTTCTATAATAAATATAACGATTTGCAACTGCTAAGCTTTTTGCCAAGGAAATTTGCACTTGAAATAAATATCGAACCCAAATTTCATAAGAAACGTGTGATATATATGAAGTAACAATTTTATGATAATGTTGATAATGAAATCTCAAAATCTTTCGAAGAGTCCTTTAGAGGATGAGTTATTCACATTTTATTTGATGGAGCGAAGTAAAAGCTAAGGAGTGGAAATTCAAAAAATTCTCTGGGAAAAAAATTGAGATGTCTCCTACGTTACCCATCGATTACTTTTATACATAATAGACAAGACTATTTTTTCACATCAAAGATTTGAGCAATTCGAAACATATGAAAATATTTTTGATTTTTTATTTAGCGGTAAAAATTAAGATCACTAGATGATGAAAATTTGAAAACATATTACTTTAATCTTGAATGTTCCTTAAAGCATAAGAATCAATTCAATATTGATGATTTAGATTTATTTTCTAATTAAAAGTATTAAGAAAAATAGTACAATTAGAAGATAACAATTTAATTGATACACTCAATCAAATAAAAAGATCTGATTCTTTTCCAAATGTCTATATTACTTATGGAATAATGTTAATAACTCTTGTTACCGGTGCTTCAGTGGAAATAAGTTTTCGAAATTAAATTAATAAAATCTTACCAAAGATCCACAATGTCTCAAGAAAGGTTAAGTGGATTAGTTATATTGTCAATTGAGAAATACTTATTAGGAGTTATTGATTATAAGATAATCATTAATAACTTTGTATCTAAGAAAAGCTAGAAAAATAAACTTCAAATAAATAAATAAATAAATATTTAAAAAAAGTTAAGGCCCCTCATAAAGTTTGACTTTAGGCCACAAAATTCATCGGACCGCCCATGGTCATCCAATACTTGTGTGTAAATTCGGACATTATTTCTTTCATTGAAATTTTTTTAATTACAAGTTCTATAGTTAATTATTTGGAAAAAAATTATAGCCAGAAAACTGTCTTGATTACCCAAAGAGTAGTAATACGAAACAGAATAGAGAGAGTATGTTAGATCTGTCATTTGTAACAAGGAACAGGAACAGTAGAATGTAGCCTTACAGCAACGGGTTTAACACAAAATATAGATTTGTACGTAAAAATCTATTGAAATTTCAACAAATATTAAATTTGAAGCCAGTACAATGAGTCAATATTAAACAACTTAAACCAATAAAATTTAGAATCCTGAATTTATCTCTCTTTGGGAAGGACTAGCTAGCTCCAAACAAACCCGTGAACAAAGGAAAGTATTCGACTGATGACTCATGTAGTGCGTATTCACCGATTAACCTCAACGACAAAACCTCACATCATCTGCTTAGGGTGGATTATTTCAATTTAAATTTAAGAATTAAATGTATTCCTTACTAAATTAAAAAGTACGTATTAACTAAAATCAATATTATCCTTAATCCTAAAATGATAATCCTGGTAGTAATTTTCAACCAGTAAAGCTTTAATCCATTTTACACATACATCTGTGTATGTCCTGCATAATTACACGTTGATTAAATCAACCGTCATACTTTAATCAAGGTTAAAAGTTTTCTGCTAATTAAGTGCTAATATAATGCTCAAGAGAGAACGAACGGTTTACATTTTAATTTTATACACTTGGAGAAATTAACTGGAGATAGCACACATCCTATGGATACAAAAAGGGACAAAACAAAGAAAGCAATATTCATTTTTTGCCTTCCAAACACAAATATTAGCAGTGCAGCAATATTCATAATTTACAAAAACTCTTTTTGCTTCTACTACTTCAATAATGAAAAACTTTTCAATTCCATGCAAAACAAGTCATTCATTCTCTTGTTGATTCTCAAGATTGCGCGTTAGATCAGATCATCAGGTCAGCTTATTTCCACCTGCAAATTAATTAAAGCCACTAATCTCAGTTCCCATGTTTACATAAACAAATCAAATAGGTAACATATATAATTTGAAACTCACGAGTAAGTGTTGAGAGGTCTGAGCTTTTCAACACACGCAGCCTTTTCACAGTAGACACAAACATACTGAAAATGTCACACCATTTGAAATTAGAACAAATCGATAAAACATATAAACAATTATTAGCAGCATATATTGAGTATATTTCAGACAGAAAAAACGTGCAGCTAATTGTTATCCATATATGTATATATTATACTAGCATTTATAAGATGTAACAACAGAATATTAAAAGAGAATCAGATCTATAAGATGGGAAATAAGATGCTTACTGCCAAGGGACATCCCCAACAAGCATTCTGTCACCTTCATTATCCTCATAAACAAGCGTATATTCGCCACTTCCGTCCAATAATCCAGTTATCGCTTTCTCTCCTTCTTCCTTCTTCTCTTTCCCACCACCAGATTGATCACTTTGAGCTTAATTAATACAAGAATTTTTAGTTCAACTTCAGAGTTTAACTTATATATATGTCGATTCTGTTATAGCAGGTTCCATATCTTCAAGATTATATAAGTTTCACCTTAATTCTACCGATCGATGTATATAATTTAAACTGGAAAAAGAATAAATTTTTAACACAACACCAACATAAAAGTAAGAATTTTCAGTTCAAGGCCCCGTTTCTTAAAATAAAGGGCAGCCCGGAGCACTAAACGCAGAATCCGAGGAAGGGCCGGTCCACAAGGGTCTATTGTATGCTGTCTTACCCTACATTTTTGCAATAGGCTGTTTCCATGATTCGAACCTTTTGACTTTCCTAGCCACATCACCCCGCTTCTTAAAATGAACATTCTAAACTTAGAAGAGTTTAATTTATATATGTCAATACATGATATAGCAAGTTCAGCATTTTCAAGATTATATAAGTTCCACGTGGATGTATACAAGTTAAACTCAAAAAAGAATAATAAATTATTAACCTGCAAGAAGGCCTCTAAAAAGTTCATCAACAGCAGAGGAGAGTTTATCATAGCTGTCATAAGCTTTGAGATCTACTTTCCTTCCAATAGGAATACCATCCATATTGATTTTAACAAATAATCCTTTCTGACAAATTTCCATTGGTTTTTTGTTGGCATCACTCTTATTTGGGACCACATTTTGTGACGCAGTCACAGGTTTCAAAGAGCTGCTGCTACTTGCAATATTCTTCCTAAATGAACGAATTGGAGGCCAACCCACCACTGGTGCTGGTGCAGTCCTATTTTTATAAAGAATTAAAAAGTAACACAAGTTAGTCTCAAGAATAAAATTGTTACTATCATCTGGAATTTGCAAATAAATAGGATAATAACGGCCCACCAACTTTAAATTATTATTATTATATACATAAAAGCCGAAAGCAAACATATGGAAAATTTCAAACCACCACTAAGACAGGGCATCACAAGGCTGTGTGTAAAAATAGAGTTTAATTCTATGTACCGACGGTATATAAATTATCAATACCAATAAAGTAAAATAATTCTGAGTGATAACTTGCTATAAACCGTTAATTAAAATGAATTACACACAACGAGTGTTACGTGAACATGCATAGATGTCTAAATCGTTGGTTAAAATGGCCTATAACATGTAACTTTTTACATAACATGCTATAACAAGGTTAACATACAACTTAAATCCAAATAATTATGCAAAAACAAGGAAAGAATTGCCTAAATTTCCGGGTAATCAAAAGTTGTGTACACGGAATGAAGTTATAACACGAAAAGGATATGTAACAAACAAAAGAGACACACGGCTCTAATATGATTCAACATATTTGTACCATATCACAAACGATTGTTTGACTGACACAATTAAACGAAATACTAAATGTTACTTAGTACTATCAATTTGTTTTCTTTTTTTAAAAGATCAAAACTAAAAGCAGGAACCAACTTTCAAAAGTAGGAGCAATAAATGAATGAAAATAAATAAAGAAATACTTTGTACTGATCTGCAAATCACATTACACTAGAACAGACAAATATTACAAGGTGAAATGAAAGCATTATGTGCATAGGACCACAACAGCACCTGACATGGAGTGTAATAGTGAATATCCTCTGTCAAAAAAAAAAGAAGGAAAGTAAAAACAAATAAGGGAGCAAAAAGCTGAGTTACCTTTTCTGAGCACTGTGGGAGACAGGACCTGTTTTTGTAGCTGGTGAAAATGCCTTCTTTTCTGCATCATTTACTGCTTTAATGCAACCAGCTGTCTGTAATGATTCCTGTGCCATCACACTCTGTTTCTGTGGCGTTGTTTGAAGCTGAAGAAATGAAGAAAACTTTTGCTGCTGAACTTGGCTTCCATTGTTGGTGCTGATATTGTAACCAAAAGGGAAAAGGGCTTCATCCTTTTCTCTAGACCAGTCTCCGTTTGGCGGACCAAGCCTTAACTCCAGCTTTTTCTCCTCGTTTCTTGAATAACCCTCCATTTCTTTTAACTTTCTTATGTATTCAACGTCAATAATAATTAAATAAAAGACCAACCTCCGTTTGATATCTACCTAAGTAACTTCCTGCAAAAAAGAAGACAACATCATGTTCACAAGAAATTTACGTTTAAGCATAAGCTATGGTTAAAAACATGGCAAAAGGTCATGGAAAGTTGAAGATCGTTGCTCTAAATACCTTGAGTTTCAACCAAAGCTTCAAGTGACAGAAACCCACATATTGATAGAGAAAAAAAAACTGGGTATAAGTTCTCTGATCAGATGATCTAATACAAGAGGTATATATGTCGAATCCAGAAGATATAAAACCTCAAAGGAACCCCACAAAGACAAAGAAAAATAGGTCAAGAAAAAGGAGGAAGAGCAATTATATATGGTGATGACTAATATATTTTCTGAGAGTGAGAGTGGGTTTTATCTTGAGAGTATTCAAGAGTGAAGAATAGAGTTAATGGAGAGAGAGAACAGAAGGAGAAGTAAATAAAGGGAAGCTAAAAATATAAGAGGGAGAGTTATGTATATAGGGATTAGGGGGCAGGGGGAGATTCTCTTCACTCAAAAGGAACGGACCCAATCCTAAAAACAGCAAACGGAATTGTAGCAAAACTCACGCAACCACAAACCCCCAAAACTTTTTTTGTTGTATTTTGTTTGGTTCATTAAGCAAAGCGTGCTGTGCTGACTACCTTTTTTATTTTATTTTATTTTATTTTTGTGACCTTTTCCCTCTCTCATATAGACTCACATACACACACTTTAGGGGCCGGTCCTATTCATAAAACATATAAAACAAGGGAAATTTTCATAAAGTACTATTTTTAGCAGTAATTAGTTATTTATAGATATCATTTGCTATATTACAGATTATAGATACGTTTTATATAGTTATAAGATGTATTTGATGTATTTAAGTTATTGTATTCATGAATACTGTAGCAAATATAGGCGTGAATCAGGGAAGTCCAGCTAATCAGTTATTGTATTCGAGTGTATTCGACTGTATTCATGGAGAGAAACATGGGATTACAACTGGACAGATTATTGTATTCGATTGTATTTACGGCGTGAAATAGGGGATCACATTGTTTTTAAAAGGGAAAATGAATCAATTAACATAATAGACTCCTAATATAACTCAACAAACTCAATTATAACACACAAATTTTGTATTTTCAGTTATAAAAAAGATTCTCAATCGAAAAATACCCCAAAAATATAGCAATCTTCAGAGAAATTATATAATACATCTGAATACATAAATTATATTAATTAAAAAAAACTTATGAATATATTCATGGTATATAGCGAGATAGTGAATACAATGAAATACATAAAATACAACGGGATACATTGAAATACAATGAGAAAAGAAGACAGTGAATACAATGAAATACATGGAATACAACAAAATACATTGAATTACAATGAAAAAAGGACAATGAATACAACAAATACATGAAAATACATCAGCAAGAACAACATTAGAAGCAAGGAAAACGACAGTGACAAGCCTTGACATATATTAACACGAAAAGAAGACCCATCAGCAAGAACAACATTAAAAGCAGAGACCAAAAGCTCATCGTGTTGAAACCCAACAAAGACTCTCCATAACTTTAGTTCTTCAAGCCCGTTGTTTATTATGCTTAAAATGGACTGAAATTCCTTTTAATTACAGCAATCTTCTCCGGCCAAGTCCCACAACAATTTTTCCTTTGCTGCAAACTTCCTCCTCTTTCCTTCCCCTGCGATATCGAGTTGTAAGCGATAATTTTTGGATCCGGAAGTGTTTGATTTTGGATCTGGAAGTAAAAACGTACTATAGGAATATGCCGTTGCAATCGTCGGATGTGGGAGCCGGAGCAATTTCTGAAGTGGGCTTTGCACAAACCTGGTGGAAGGAGGAGGAGAGCGGAATTTTTAATGGGATGGGGGAAGAGAATGTGATGTATCAAAGTAGAGAGAGAAAGAAAATAGTGTAACTGATTAGCGTATTTAGTGGCTTAGAACTAGGAGGTAACCAAAATTAAATATTTTGCTAGAAACCTTAAAAGGTATCTATAGAATATAATTTTTTTAAATAGTATTTATTTAAAATAAATAAGGTGTTAATCTTTGCTATATGAGGTAAAAATTTCATAAAGAAATTTCTTTAGGCCCACATTTGTGGAGGTCCTATTTTTTTTTTTACACCTAATAGGTTATATATAAATTTTAAAAAATTATGTGGTGAAAAAGTTTGATTTCTTTATTTAACAAATATAGAGATAAAGGATTTGCAACTGCTTTGATTTCTGCCAACGAAATTGCATTTGAAATTAATATAGCACCCAAATTTCATAAGAAACTGTAATATATAGGAAGAAACTGAGGAGAATGTTGATAGTGAAATTCTCAAAATCTCTCGAAGAGTCCTTTAGAGTTGATTACTTTTTATACATACTCCCTCTGGTCCATAATAAATGACTTTTTAACCTTTGTTGTGCCCCCTTAAGAAAATATTGACTCCTAGAATTAAAATATATTTTGACTAAATTATCCTTAATTAGAATTTATATGTTGTTAACTTGACACATAGTGATATGTAAATAAGGGCAAATTTGAAAAAATAAAGTTAATTCATTCTCGATTATATAAAAGGACACTTATTTTGAGCCAAAAAAGTCACTTATTATGGGTTGGAGAGAGTAGTAGACAAGGTTATTTTTTTCACTTTAAAATAGATTTGAACAATTAGAGGTATATGAAAATATTTTTCGTTTTCTATTTAGCTGTAAAAACTGAGATTACAAGATGATGGAAATTTGAAAAAATATTGCCTTCATCTTGAATGCTCCTTAAATCATAACAATCAACCCGATATTGATAGTTTAGATTTATTTTTTGCATTAAAGATATTTTTTTTTTAAAATAGTACAATTAGAAGATAACAGTTTATTGATATACTCAATCAAATAAAAAGATTTGATTATTTTTTAAGCGCCTATATTACTCATAGAATAATGTTAATAACTCTTATTACTGTTGCTTCAGCGGAAAAAAGTGTTTCGAAATTAAAATTGATAAAACCTTACCTAAGATCAACAATGTCTCAAATATATTAAATGAATCAGTTGTATTGTTAATTGAGAAAGACTTATTAGGAAAAATTGATTATAAAAATTGATTATAATTTTGCATCTAAAAAAGTTATAAAAATAGACTTCAAATAAAAATAAAAATATTTTTTAAAAATAAAAAAGTTAAGGCCCCTCACAAAATTTGGCTTTAAGCCACAATATAATTTTGAATTATTTTTAAAAAAAATTTATTTTTTTTTCGAAATCAACATTTGTTCATAAAATTTTCAATTTTCACTTGAAGATGCATTTTGGAATTTTTCGAAAATTTGAAAAATTCCAAAAAGCTGTTTTTCAAAATTTTCACTCAGATCACTCACAAAACTTCAAAAATAACTCAAAATTATATTCATGTCCAAATACAACTTTAATTTTCAAATATCATTTTTAATTGAAATTTTTTTTCACTTTTTTTTGGAAATTTTCAATTCTTATGTCCAAGCGATCACTTAAATAACACCGGCTAGTCAGTTTTTGGACTGGAAATTAAAAAATAGTCAGCATTTGCAAAGTCATTGAAAAATAGTCATTATTTTGTTGCAACACGGAAAGTTCCAGTATAATATACTGAAGATTGGTGCACATGTGTATGAACTTCTAGCATATTATGTTAGAATTCCAACACATGAAAAGTTCCAGCATTGTATACGGGAGATTGGAGCACATGCGTATGAACTTCCAGCATATTATGTTGTACCAGTATATTATGCCGGAACTTCAGTATATTATGCCGGAACTCCAATATATTATGCTAGAAGTCTAGTATATATTATGCTGGAACTTCAGTATATTATGCTGGAATATTTTCTGGATTTTGGATTGTGTTTTCGTTCAGATTTATCCTTACATGAAAAGTAGCTAAATTTTGAAACTGTGACTATTTTTCAATTACCACTTGTAAATCTAGGTATTTTTGAATTTCACCCCACTTTTGACTCTATCTCTATCTTTAGAGCTAAAGAAAAAAAGGAAAACTTTTTTTGAAGCCTATTAAGTATTTTCTTCGTTTACTTTTACTTGACATATTTTGATTTTTCATGCCTCTTAAGAAATAATAAATGAAGTGCATAATTTACTATAATACTCATATTAATTTATGCATATTTTATTGGATTTGAGAAAATGATTTAAAATGAGTAATAAATATTGTGGGTATAACAGGAAAAAAAAATTATTTTCTCTTAATATGCGTAAAGTGACAAGTAAAAAAAATTATTTTTAATATATATGCCAAGTAAAAATAAACGAGGGAGTATGACTCAACTCTATAGAAACCTATAGGATTAGCACACTACCCGAGACATACCCAGAGATCTTTTTAATTTAGTTACTTAATTACTATTAGTAAAGAATTCTATAAACCCGCAGAAAGTCAAGCCTCACTAAAAAGAAGTGTGAATAGTGTGTTGCTTCTAGCAATGAAAGTCTTCTGAACCACTTCTAGTAATGTTTAAGTAAAGTAACATTAAGATTAGAAAGTGACTTGATCCTTCATTTGGGGTGGCTTATACTTAATTGTTACCAAACCCGGTTTAGAAAATTGACTCTTGCTATTTGTTTATGAATTAAACTGAACTTGCTCGAACAACTTAGGGGTCGTTTGGTATGAGGTATAAGAAGGTATAAGGGTGGTATAAAAATTTAATACCACCTTAATACTCTGTTTGGTTAGCAAATCAGGTATAAGTTATTTCGGTGTTAGTTTTAACACTGAGATTACTTATACCTTATAGAAGGTGGGGTAATTAGCACCGGTGTAACTTATACCTTCTTCTTAGAAATTATGCAATTGTCATTCTTAATACAACATACCAAACAATGAATAAACAACAATCCCAACATAACTTATCCCAATATAGCTTATACCGGCATAACTTATACCGGTATAAATCATATTCCAACCAAACGACCCCTTAAAGTTTTTTTTACCCTATTAACAAAAGCGGATTAAGATTTAAACTCGAGGGGTTCTATTATAGCACTGAACTTCTTGTTTTTTAAATTATAATATATATACGGGTAAAACCGGGTTCATGATACGCCCCGGTCTTCGATAGGGTAAACCAAGCTCGAGACATGTAGACAAGGGACCGGAATCGAGGCAGGGATCTAATCGAGTTAGAATTCGGGAGCACTACGACCGCCCTCGAGTATATCGGGGTCATGATCCGAGATCGGACCAAACCCAAATGACTCCGAAGAACTTTGTGAGGCAATCAGACACGACCAACAGAAGGCCAAAATATCTGCGATCGGCCAGATATCATGGCGCGAATCTCGGCACGTATCCACAAAGAACCGGCTATCACTTAAACAAAAGATTTTTCACCTTTTGTAGAATTATATTCAGAGCAGGATTCCCCTACTATATAAAAGGGGAGTCTGATAATTCATTGG